GTATGTGTGTGTGTGTGTGTGTGTGTGTGTGTGTGTGTGTGTGTGTGTGTGTGTGTGTGTGTGTGTGTGTGTGTGTGTGTGTGTGTGTGTGTGTGTGTGTGTGTGTGTGTGTGTGTGTGTGTGTGTGTGTGTGTGTGTGTGTGTGTGGCCTGAATTTATCTACAATAGTTGATATTGCGCATGTGCATTATCAACTTCCATATATCCACTAAACCATCGCATTGGAAACTAAAAAGCTCAAATTAATACGGTACCATATATATATATATATATATATATATATATGGTATGTCCAATGCAAGAGCTTTCTTTAAATCAGGGATTGTTCCTCTGAGGAGGAGGAATGGTGAGGAGGAAAATGAGGAGGAGGAGGAGAGCGAGGAGGATCCTCAGAGGAACAATCCCTGCTTTAAATCGACATGATAAACATTGTACTCAAAAGAAGTATTATCAAGCGGTTTCGTGATCATAATTGCCGTGTACATTATGTGGTTAAATTTAAATGAATATATATCCACAGGTTGACATGTCTCGAAAAAACACATCTACAATCAACAAACTGAGCTTCACTCATCAAAGCAAAAAGTAAAACAAGAAATCTTTCGATTCAAAATTAATCAGTTAGAATGTTTGTCTCACAGAATCTTTACATCTGTGTATAATTGTAACATTTTCAACATCATTCGTCACAACATTAAAAACATTAATTTAGAAATTAAATGAAAAAAAATTGATTATCTTTTCAATTCTTCGTCCCATTTTTCCGAAATGAAGATAATATCCTCTGTATATTGCTTAAAATTTAATTTCAAATATGATAAAACACGGATCATAACTCACCAAATAGTGATGATGTTTTAAGAGAATTGATAGTTTTCGTGTGCGTTCTATAGATGTTATAGCTTTTTTACGAAATGGCACATTGACTGGAGTTATATCAATAAGCTTAGAAAGTGTCTTCTGTTCGGATGTTTCATCCGGCACATTTTGGCTAGAAGACGACGAATTCGTGATTGACTCCATCATTGAATTGGAATTGTCAATCAATTTGAACCATTTGTTTAACATTTGACACTTGTCGAATTTAAGATTGGTTAAATA